TTCACCTCCGGCCTGCTCATGCGTCGCCTGAGCCGTCCTGGTCTTTGGACAGAGTGCTCGCTTTCCTTTCATCTCCTCGTTTCGTTGTGGCCCCTTCGGTCCAGGATTGTTTTTCCAAGGCACTTTTCTTGTTGGCTTTGGCCTCTGGGGGTCGGGTAGGGGAGCTTCATGCTCTCCTCCGGCGCAGGGGTTTCTGCTCTTTTGGTCGTGGTGATAGTTTTGTTCGTTTGCAGCCGTCTCCTTCTTTTCTGGCGAAGAATGAGACTGCTGCGTTCCGGAGGGGTCCATGGGTGGTTGATGCTTGGTTGGTCTGGCCGGGGGTGCATCATGTTTTGTGATCGGCGGTTGCAGCCAGTTGTCTCGGCTTCGAGTTGAGGGGTGAGCGACGACCGCCTCCCGGGTAAGTCCCTCTTTTTCTGTCTGTGGGTAGTTAGCTCCGGGGAGCCGACGGGGCTCCCCCCAGAAAACCAGCGTTGAATGTAATGAAACGCCATTTTCTGGGTGAGTCCCGGAGGCTCCCCGGCATCCCTCCCTCCCTCCGGTCGGCGGTTTTTCGCGTTTTTGACATCCAGCCTCAAGAACTGAGGTGTGGGTAGCCGGCGCGGGGGGTCTGGGGCTCCCCCTTCCCCCTCCCAGGGAGGGGGGAGCTGCGCAGACAGCGGCGCGGCAGTGTGTGACGTCACACTAGTTTGCTTGTTTTCGGTTGGGGAGTTCTATCCACTAGTTCGGTTTTAGGTAGCAATTTTAACCAGAATAGGGGTTTGTTTTGGGGCGCTTACCTTTCTGGGTGCCTGTTCCGGTCGATGGCAGACATAGAATGCTTCCACTAACACGGGGGCTTCTATAGGCCATTGCTCCCCTTGCCTCTCTGAGGGGGCCCGGTTCTGGCTGTGGTCCCCGGTAGGCCTAAGAACTCCATACACATGACTGATGCCAAAGTCTGACATTAGCATATCAGCCTGGGATAGCTCCGGGAAGCCTCCGGGACTCACCCAGAAAATGGCGTTTCATTACATTCAACGCTGGTTTTTTACTTACCTGTGGGTATATAGCTTCAGGGAGCCATCGTGGCTTCCCTCAGAAAACCAGCGTTAAATGTAATGAAACTCCATTTTCTGGGTTGATCCCCGGAAGCTTCCAGACACCCTCTCTCCCTCCAGTCAGCGGTTTGTTATCGGTCTCTGAACTGCCAGAGTCAGCACTGGAGCTGCCTCAACAGAGCGCCCTCTTGGGGGAGAGGGGAGGGGGTTACTAACGAGCGGGCACGCTGGTTGAGTGGATATAAGCTTGCTTGTTGTTTTCTCCTGGGGAGGAGTTCATGGCCTGTTTGGTCTTGGGTTGCAATGTTTTACCAGTAGGGGATTTGTATTGGTTCACTTACCTTTGTGGGTGATACCCCCCAGTCAATGGCAGACATGACATACTCTCACAAAGTGGAGTGCTCATATGCCATTGCTCCCTGCACCTCTGAGGAAACTAGGTTCTGGCTCGTGGCTTCCGGTAGGCATAAGGACTCCAGTAACTGATGCTCTAGACTAATATGGTGGATATCAGTCCAATAGCTTCAAGGAGCCTCTGGGGGGTCAACCCAGAAAATGGTGTTTCATTACACTCAATGCTAGTTTTTTTTTTTTTTTTTTTTTTTTTACCTTATCCTGTAATACTTCTACAGTTTTCCTTGCTCGAGCACTACCCCCCCCCCCACCCTATAGCAGCAGGGATTGGGGGTAATAATTATATCATTTGAGCTGTTGAGTATCTTTAACCAGAAATTGATTGCCTAATAGTATGTTTTTATTGTGATCTTTCATATTTCCTTAGTTGTTATATTTTTAAATTTAAATTTCTATTGGCTGCATTGCTCGGAATGATAGAGGGGGGTATGTTAATGTACCAGATATCATTGTACCATTTGGCTCTGTGGCACAAGTCACATGTTGTAAAGCAAGCTTCAGTGGGGGAAGTGTAAGATTTTATAAAACTTTGAGCCAAATGTAGTCGAGTAAAGGCTCTTCTTCCCTAAAGGCAGCCACCTTGGCATGTTGTGGATGATTTGAAGTCTGTTTCTCAGAAAGCCATGCCAGTGGAGCTTGCTCCAGATAAGGCTTCCTATGCTAGACTGATTTCTGAAGAGGTTACTGACTAAGTCATTTTTAATGGTAATATCTACTACTGTAATGGCGGTAACCCAGAGGCACATTGGAACACCTCTTCCTGGAGACATTTATATATCAACATGTCAAGCAGGCCACAAGAATGAGGGAAGGGGATGTTCCGTCAACACTGGGTCTAATATTCACCAGGAAAGAGGAAGAGATATTTGACATCCAGTACCTTCCTCTCTTGGGAAAAGTGATCATGTCCTGTTGGAAATTAAATATGCTTTGCGAATGTAATCTAGAAGAGAATGGGTTTGTAACAGCCGATAAACTAGATTTCAAGAGAGGACACTTTAGGGAACTTTGAAATTTTTTTAATGAGTTTAATTGGACAGACATTTGCTAGGCAAGGAAGTAAATGAGATTGTACAGTATGCCAAATTTTGCAAAATATACAATGAAGGAAAACAAACCTTAACCCTTTGATGGTGCAGTGGTCTATATCCTTGGCTCACATCCCACGAATCTGGATTCGGAGAGAGAGAGCCAGTGAGACCCAGCCAGGGCTTTAAATAACTTGGGTTGGGGCACATTGGAATGGTCTTGTGACAATGATCTACAAGCTGTGTGGATATGCTGTTCAACTCACTAATTGACCAAACTATAAGCCAGAGACAACTCTCTGCCATTTCAGATAGCAATTATATGAAGTATAAATTTTAACATGATATACTAACTATACAGTAGTGACAAAAGAGATGTAATTTACAGAAGCGTAAAATATAGCATACAAATGACGTGCTTAATGAGGAATTACGTACTCATTAGTATTTTACTGTGATGACAGTGCTTTGTTATTGCAAAGAAGAGATTTTCCACATAAATAAAACAGAAGAGTTGATATAAGTACAAATACTGTGAAAACAATATGGCATTAGAAGAACTTTTCTTGGATGTATGTAGTGCTGTACTATTAGGTGACCTCTATGTAGCTCAGGGGCTAGTGCAATCAGTTCACAGCCGATTAGACCCAAATTGTATTCTCAGGTATGGTAAGATGTTTAGGCATGCTTTCTTTAACCTGATGCCTTTGTTAACTTAGCAGTAAATTGGTATCTGGGAGTTAGTCGACTGTTTGTGCAGTCCTGGGAAGGGTCATGCATTGGCCTCAGGGAAAGGCCATTGATGAAGGGAAACCGGAAACCAGGAAAAGATCACAAACTTTGGCGACTAATCTAAAGTACAATATTAAACTACTGAATCCCATTGTGAGGCCACTGAGAAATAGAGCAGTTGACTCCCTTAAACCCCAAGTACCCTGCAGTTAACATGTGTGTCAGATGTGAAGGTGTTGGTGCATTTTGTATTCTCCACCTCTGCACCTGCAGGTGAATTATTCACTCCTGATCATACCTGGATATTAAGACCAAGATGGGAAGGTTTTGTACTGATGCTCCCAAAGTCAGTCAGTTGATGTTTAGTACACTAATATGGCAGACCTGATTATTTTTAAATAACAAAGAGCTTTCTTAATAATAATAACAATAATTTTTTTTATAAAATGCACAAAGGAAGATGTTAGTGGTTATTTAGTAGGTACAATAATTGTATATCACATGAAACTACAAATTCTGCACAGTGTTTTGGGCATTAAACGTGGAGAAGCTAAGAAAACTGAAGGTAATGTTGGGAAACAATTGAACCTGCATAATATGCCGTGCGAGGTGCTGCACGGTACACTGTGCCGTGTACATTGCACGACACTGAGGATCAAAGTGAACCTGATGGGGTGAAACACCTCATTGGTAATTTATTATAAACCTCCAGCATAAAATGTGGACTAATACATTATTAATCATTCAACAGAACTGTTGATGCCTTTGCTGTAACTTGGAGATGGGGGTTTAACCCTTGAAATATACACATTATCATAAGATCAACCCATGGTGCACATGTCATCCAAAGATGGAGTTTGAAGCATTTGAAACTCCTACTGGAACACTGCTCCCAATCAGTATTTGAGGCCTCCAGTAAACATTTACATTCTAGACAAGTTAACATTTTTGGAACATTTCCCCCTATACTCAGGGCAGGGTTTCTGACAATATAGGAAAATTTTTCTTCTATGCCCCCTCCCCTTTTCTTTCCCCTCCCCTTTTCTTTCCCCTCCCCTTTTCTTTCCCCTCCCCTTTTCTTTCCCCTCCCCTTTTCTTTCCCCTCCCCTTTTCTTTCCCCTCCCCTTTTCTTTCCCCTCCCCCTCCCCCTCCGTAGAGATAATGATTGATTTATCCTATGCGCATTTCAAGGGTTAAGTATCTTACGCGAGTATTTGTGCTGAATAATTGCTCTGATTTATCTCTGGGCTCCTGACCAAATCCTAATTAATTTTGAATCTGTACTAATCCTGTCATTTAAGCAGTATGATTTAATTATGTTCTGGTGCTGCTACATTTGTCCATGAACCTGCATACTCTAGGAGGACGCAGGGTTCCGAGCCTCCCAAAAGTAAGTAAGTCTACTACCGTTGATAAAAATGGCTGGTAGTGTGTACCAACATCTGCACGGTCAACTCCTTCTCAGGAGAGGGGTATACAATGTCCAAAATGGCTATACACATGGTTTCAAACCTTTTAGATAATATATGCACATTAATCCTTGAACTATGCAGCTATTTAAGAGTAGAAAATTGAGGTGTACCTGACTAAAAATAGTTAAGCAAATGGTAAAAAAAAGTACAATGGGATTGGAACACAGGAGGCACTCGCAGATAGCAATTGGAGCAATGTGAGGATTAAATAATGAATGGATACTGGTAATTATAAAATATGCTTTGTATTTGTTTTTCAGTACAGTATTTTGAAGGTCCATTAGATTAAATAATCATTTTATGCCTCGGGACAGGCCTGATGACAAGAAACACCTGGTAACGAAGATCCTTCCCAATCGTGCAGCTCGTATCCTCCGTGCATCTCTAGAGAGCCTCTGTGAGAGGATCATTAAGTTCGAGAGGTCTCTACAGCAACATCTCAAGTCACAAAAAATTGAACCTGATGGCAGCATTGATTCTGATTTCAAAATGAAGAGAAAAGAGGTATTCTATGATTTTTATTTTATTAATTTATTTTTTCTCAGCATATTGTCGTGATTTAATGGGTCCTGAAGCACAGTGGTCTACATCCTTCACTCATAACTAAGGGATTTGGGTTGAATACTCAGACAGGATAAACATTTGGGCTCCTTTCCTTTCTCTTAATGCCTTTGTTCATCTTGGAGTTGGGCAACTGTTGTGGGTTGCATCCTGGGGAAGGTCACTTGATGGTATAGGGGGAACCCTCGTTAAGCCTAAGTACAGGCTTCTTGTCCCAACATCAGGAATTATACACTGATACTAGTTCTGAAGATGAATGCATGTTTTCTCTCACAAATTTGAAACAAGTACTCACCTAATTGTGCTTGCGGGGGTTGAGCTCTGGCTCTTTGTTCCCGCCTCTCAACTGTCAATCGACTAATGTACAGGTTCCTGAGCCTACTGGGCTCTATCATATCTACACTTGAAGCTGTGTATGGAGTCAGCCTCCACCACATCACTTCCTAATGCATTCCATTTGTCTACTACTCTGACACTGAAAAAATTCTTTCTAACGTCTCTATGGCTCATTTGGGCATTCAATTTCCAGTGTGTGTGTGTCATTACCCAAGTGTAGTTACAGGATGAGAGCTACGCTCGTGGTGTCCCGTCTTCCCAGCACTCTTTGTCATATAACGCTTTGAAACTACTGACGGTCTTGGCCTCCACCACCTTCTCACCTAACTTGTTCCAACCGTCTACCACGCTGTTTGCGAAAGTAAATTTTTTTATATTTCTTCGGCATCTGTGTTTAGTTTAAATCTATGACCTCTTGTTCTTGAAGTGCCAGGTCTCAGGAAATCTTCCATATCAATTTTATCAATTCCTGTTACTATTTTGTACGTAATGATCATATCACCTTTTTCTTCTGTCTTCTTGTTTTGGCATATTTAATGCCTCTAACCTCTCCTTGTAGCTCTTGCCCTTCAGTTCTGGAGCCACTTAGTAGCATATCTTTGCATCTTTTCAAATTTGTTGATGTGCTTCTTTAGATATGGGCACCACACAACCGCTGCATATTCCAGCTTTGGCCTAACAAAAGTCGTGAACAATTTCTTTAATATTTTACCATCCGTGTATTTAAAAGCAGTTCTGAAGTTAGAAAGTGTAGCATAGGCCCCTCGCACAATGTTCTTAATGTGATCCTCAGGTGATAGTTTTCTATCTTGAACTACCCCTAGGGTAGTTCAAGATAGTAGTAGTTCTTTAGTTCTAGTAGTTCTTAGGTAGTAGTTCTTTAGGGAGCCGGTCGGCCGAGCGGACAGCACGCTGGATTTGTGATCCTGTGGTCCTGGGTTCGATCCCAGGCGCCGGCGAGAAACAATGGGCAGAGTTTTTCACCCTATGCCCCTGTTACCTAGCAGTAAAATAGGTACCTGGGTGTTAGTCAGCTGTCACAGGCTGCTTCCTGGGGGTGGAGGCCTGGTCGAGGACCTGGCCGCGGGGACACTAAAAAGCCCCGAAATCATCTCGAGATAACCCCTAGATCTCTTTCTTTATCAGACTTCTTTAAAAGTTTCTCACATAATTTTAGGTTGTGTGGGGTCTATGTTCTGCTATTCCACATTCCATAACCCAGCATTTATTTACATTAAATTTCATTTGCCAAGTGGTGCTCCATATACTTATTCTGTCAAAATCTTCTTGAAGGGCATGACAATCATCTGAGTTACTTATCATTCTTATTATCTTAGCATCATCAGCAAACATGTTTATATAATTCTGTATTCCATCTGGTAGATCGTTTATGTAGACACTGAACATTATTGGTGCAAGACCTGAACCCTGTGGTACTCCGCTTATGACATTTCTCCAGTCCGATACACTTCCTCTTATTACTGCCCTCATTTTTTGATCAGAAAATTTTTCATCCATGTTAGAAGCTTACCTGTCTGTCACCCCTCCAATGTGTTCCAGTTTCCTGAACAACCTCTTATGTGGAACTCTGTCAAAAGCTTTATTTAGGTCCAGATAGATGCAGTCAACCCAACCATCCCTTTCCTTTAATCTCTGTGGCTCGATCATAGAAACTGAGTAAATTTGTTACATAGGATCTTCCAGATCGAAAACCATACTGTCTGTCTGATATTATATCGTTTGTCTCCAGGTGTTCTACCCATTTAGTTTTAATTATTTTTTCCAATATTTTGACTATTACACTTGTCAACAATACAGGTCTATAATTGAGGGGGTCTTCCCTGCTGCCACTTTTGCAGATTGGAACTATGTTAGCCTGTTTCCACACATCTGCTATGACTCCTGTTCACAGGGATGCCTGAAAAATCAGGTGAAGTGGAATGCTGGGCTCGGATGCACATTCTCTCAGAACCCATGGTTAAACTCCATCTGCGCCAACTGCTTTGTTCTTACTTAGCTCCTTGAGCATATTTTCTACTTTGTCTCTAGACACCTCTATGTGCTTTGTTATTCCCTGGAATTGTTATTTTGTCTGGTTCTCTGAAGATTTCATTTTGTACAAACACACTTTGGAACTTTTCGTTTAATGTTTCACACATTTTCTTTTCATTTTCCGTGAATCTGTTCCCCATTTTCAACCTCTGGATATTGTCTTTTACCTGCATAGTACTTGCCTATCTGTGCCTGTGGAGGTTGAGCTTTGGCTCTTTGGTTCCATCTCTCAACAGTCAGTTGACTGGTGTTTATATTTGTGTTGATTAATGGTTACTCTCCCAGTTTTGTACTTTGCTACTGCACATTCTTTGTTGTCTATGATATTCTTATATTATATTACATTATTAACACTGGTGGTTCAGCTTCTCCACGCATTTCCATCTATAAACATTCCAGGCTCCACGGCCGCTCACGAGCCACTCGGCAATGAGAAAAATGTTTACTATTCCTCTATGCTTTCTAAGTTATATCTTGGCTTATAACTTTAAATTTGGTGTCAAAATGTAGTCACATTAATTCCCTAGAGAACAAGAGGCAAAAACAAGTGTACTATATTTACAATGGTGACCAAACCAAATGTCAGGAGATGAAGAAACGACGATATTTTGTTCCCTCCTGGTCCATTATTAAGTCGTGTGTGTATTTACTATGGATTCTGTATGACAGTGATGAATATGTGTTTATGAACAGCAATTTGGACAACACATTTTAGCGTCATTATAACATTTACTGTCACAGTATGAACGATGCATTTAAGTGTCCTTGGAATGCAAAAGTATTAATTAACACTCTTTTGCATTCCAATGACAAAGTATATATCATCCAATGCAAACAATTGCTTTATTTTTATCTATGAAGATAGGCTATTTAACACCTTGTCTAGATCTTTGCTTTATTAAGACATGTGAATTTGCTGTATAGATATTTAAGTTATTGTATTCTTATTGCCTGGCCTGGGGTTAGGACTACCAGGTGACTTGCCTGGTCTAAGAGACTGTGTAGGTAGAGAGGCTGCCCGTCTCTTTCCAAGATGCTTGACTTACACAAGCAGACGATTACCAGCATCCAGGGTTTCTCTTCCTTCTTAAGGGCTTCCAATTTTGCCTTTTCTCTATTTTTAATTCAAGTACAGTGTGGGTTGGGGTAGTTTTCAGCCATGCTAGTGTGACTTTTTCTCTGCATTTGCAGTGGGTTTAAATTTTTTGTTTCCACTAAGGTTTTTAACATAAAACAAATTCACTGTATACAATGAAATCACAGTATGTACTGTAGTGTGATGTATCTGAGAAAATAATTTGCAGCATTGTGATGTAATTGAACTCTCATCTCTGGTCATCCCAGATGCATGCATTACCCACTAGACTGCAGTGCCGTGGTTGTGCTGCTTTCAAGTACATCGTGGTCTATTGGGTAATGCATGTACCTGAGACCTGACACAAGTTATTCTGGGTGACCCGAGACACAAGTTCTGACAGTGTTTTTTTTTTTTTTTTTTTCGTTGCCGTGCTTTGTACTGTAGTCATAATGTTCTGTAACTTATGAGAATCTATTTTTGTTTTGACTCATAAACCTCAATATTGTTTCAGCAACAACTTGACGTGGAGATCCAGGAAGCATTCCTGCGCTTCACTGCGACAATACTTAAAGGCTACAGTGCCTACTTGCTGCCAATTGTCTCCGCTAAAGCTGGCGCTGCTTGCGATACGTCGTCATTATTTGATCTTGATGGTAAGAAGAAAACTGTGGTATTGTTTCAAGATAAAATAGTTTGTGTAACAATCATGTGTTGAATAAGATTGCTTATTACATACCTGCGGTACTGTCGGTTTGTATTCTTGCCTCACCTTCACAAGTTCTTTTCCATTTATAAGCAGCTAGACTGTGTATTAGTTTGATTTGATAAGAGCGGTTACTGGGAAGATGTCATTTTCAATAAAGTTGCTCTCATCCAGTAAAGTGGAACCTCGATTCAGTGAATCTTCGGTTGGAACGCGCACTTTCCAGGCTGGATATGCTCGCCCGATTTGATGAACTGAGAGTTTGCTGAAGCAGAGGATGTGTGGATTTGCTTAAGATGTTGGGACAGAGTTCACAGACTGTTGGAAAAGTTGCCCATCATATCATAGGGTAAAATATTAAATACAAATTTGGTCCACCAGGCTGTTGCTTGGAGCGGCCCGCAGGCCCACATACCCACCACAACCCGGTTGGTCCGGAACTTCTTTTAGAAAACAGTCTAGTTTTCTCTTGAAGATATCCACAGTCCCTAAGGTGAACAAGGAAGAAAAAACACCCTAGCACACAAAGGGTGGCCGAAAACCAAGCAATAAACAGCCTAACAGAGGCAGAGCCCAAGGAACTTGTGGATGGTAACCTCAAGCCCCAAGGGCAGTACTTGCAGAGCACCTAGGGAAGGAAACCCTAGGCGCATGCAGCCCGAGTACTTGAGAATCACTCCCGGCTCACGCACCACCTAGCAGACAGTCACCACACACTAGGTACAGTGCTGAAACAACCACCGGAGCCGGACCACACGACTGTTGCTTCTAACATCAGCCTTAGAACTGATGGGTGGATAGCCGGCGTGGGGGTCTGCGGCTTCCCCTTCCCCCCTCCCTGGGAGGGGGAAGGGGAAGCCACACATCGCCGTGTTGCGTAGACAGCGGTGCGGTGATGTGTGACGTCATCATCGTTTGCTCGTTTCTTTCAGGGGTAGTTCTATCCACTTGTTCGGCTTTTGGTAGCAATATTTTCACCAGAATAGGGGTTTGTTTTGGGATGCTTTCCTTTCTGGGTGCCAGACCCGGTCGATGGCAGACATAGAATGCTTTCAACCACACAGGGGTTTCTATAGGCCATTGCTCCCCATGCCTCTCTGAGGGGGTCAGGTTCTGGCTCGTGGTCCCCGGTAGGCCCACAGAACTCCATACACATAACTGATGCCAAAGTCTGACATTAGCATATCAGCCTAGTAAGCTCTGGGGAGCCTCCGGGTCACACCCAGAAAATGGTGTTTCATTACATTCACCGCTGTTTTTTTCTATATGCAACTGAAGAAAGTTTTGTTCAGTAAAATATGAGCCCTCTTTCCTTTGAAAATGTCTCTATCTTTGTATATCTGTCTCATGCTATGCCTTATCCTTGTATATCTTTCAGTATCCTCTGGCAACTTCCCATCCTTGAGGGAGTAGCCACAGTTTTTTATTGGATTACCTTGGGGTTACCTTGAGGTGATTCCGGGGCTCGGTGACCCCGTGGCACGGTCGTCGACCAGGCCTCCTCATTGCTGGACTGGTCAACCAGGCTGTTGGACGCGGCTGCTCGCAGCCTGACGTATGAGTCACAGCCTGCTTGATCAGGTTTCCTTTGGAGATGTTTGTCAAGTTCTCTCTTGAACACTGAGGGGTCGGCCAGTTATGCCCCTTATGTGTAGTGGAAGCGTGTTGATAGTCTCGGGCCTCTGATGTTGATAGTTCTCTCTCGGAGTACCTGTTGCACCTCTGCTCTTCAACGGGGGTATTCTGCACATCCTGCCATGTCTTCTGGTCTCATGTGGTGTTATTTCTGTGTACAGGTTTGGGACTAGCCCCTCTAATATTTTCCATGTGTAAATTATTATGTATCTCTCCCGCCTGCGCTCAAGAGAATACAGGTTTAGGCTCTTTAGTCGGTCCCAGTAGTTTAGATGTTTTACTGAGTGAATTCTAGCAGTAAAGGATCTCTGCATGCTCTCTAGGTCAGCAATTTTCTCCAGCTTTGGAGCCAAAGAGCTAATTGCAGATAGCTATTCAAGCCATCTAAGGCTTAAGTTTTGAAGTACTAACAGTAATTGTTGCTTTGTGGAATTTTTAATTGATAAACATCTTCCAAGTTTTTCATACATACCTACCCCTGTATCGTGAGAGTCTAACTCACTCAGTCTAGCTTAAAAATGATATGTTTGTGAGTTTCAATTAGGGGCTGGCTAAGGAATGCTACACTTGCTGAATGATACATTTATATCACTCTTGTTGGCTTTGGTTTTCTTGATAAGAATGTGTTATGATTTTCACAGGCTTTTCAAAGCATTTGCCATTCAGTTGCTTGCTAAGCATGCATCATCATGTGACCTGGATTATGTTCAGTTGATCAGGGCAACATTCTGGTATTGGTGCCCATTGCATCCCAAGTGTTGGACTCTCACTAAATGCTCATTTCTCTGTCTGGTCACTTATGTTGCCCATCACCAGATGGTGCATTTAACGGATCTCTAACCGTGTCCATGGAGGACAGAAGGATATGTATATATGCTGGTTAGCATTGTAAATGTGTGGCCATGACTGTGGTAGAAAAAACAAACATATGGTGGCACCATGCAACTCCAGGGTTCCCAGACTACCATGCTTTCTCCATACATTATATTATAGGAAAGCCTTTTAATGTGTGAATTTGCTCTTACATCTTATCATGTTTATTTGATAAGGCCCTAAGATGGACCGGTGCAATTTTTTCAGTTTTTTCGCCATTGTTGTTCTTGCAATCAAAGATCATGTACTCGGTGATATTTGTGTGTTTACATGGATGATGGGTGCTCTTTCTGTACCTTCCACCAACCTTTCCGAGCTATATTTTAAATTGGCCTGCTCCCTCCTTTCTTATCCCTCCTGTTTGCAGCATGTTTCATGTGTTTTGGAAAGAATATAATAGTAGAAATCTGGGGAGGTTATGTTGGCGATTATGCTGTCATCTGTGGAGACTAGGGTTACTACTCTCTTGGGTAGCCACAAGTGGACACCTTGTTTAACAATGATATGTCATCAAAGGGGAAAAATGTTACACTGGTTTTAGTTTTTATGAAATACTCTGGGGCGGTCATTATAGGCAGTATTGAGTTTGTCTTCGTTGCCCTTCTAGCACAGTGGTTTCCAACCTTATTGGATTTGCTTTAGTATTTTCTAATGCTCAAAAGTCCTCCGACCCCCCTGCTACACATTGAAAATAACATCTTAATTGTATCTGTGTGGGCAGTGTTCTCTGGGTGGCTAAAACTAGACCACCCCAGTGGCCAGTCCCAGCCAGTTAGGAACCACTGATCTAGCACATTTAATGACCCCATAGGAACGATCTAAGATGTTTACCTTAACACAACTGTCTAGAAGGCCTCCTGCTTAATTTGTGATCCATCATGCAGAGGACACAGGATCTTGCCTCAAAGGAGCAGATGAATGCTTGCACTCGGACACATGCTTTACATACCCACTTGGAGCCGTATTTTTGTGTAAATATTGTCTTAACACCTTATTAAGTGACTTAAAACTTTTCTTTTGCAGCTTTTGTTAAATCCAGAGACAAGAAGTACCACAAGTTTTACCAACTGTTAGTGAATACACAAATGTTCAGCAAGTTCATAGAGGAACGTTCGTTTGTGTCGGATAAGGATGCCTCCTTGGCTTTCTTTGACGACTGTGCCGAGAAGGTTAGTGATATGGATGAACAGAATTCGGTAATGTTTTTTTAATTAATTTAAGTTCCACCCATAAATTATGTTGGTAATACTTTGTCATAATTTCCTGTAAGTCATCCAGTATGACCCAAAAGCCTTAAAACTGGTTAAATTAGATCATCTGAAGTTTAGATGGCTCTGAAGAATAACTGCTTGCTTGGGTCATACATTTGTCCTCCAGGCATTTCCAATTGATCTAGAAGTTTTTATCCTAATATTGACTTCAAAATTGCTTACCAGAGACATTAGTTTAATGTTTTCACTTGATGATAATATTAGATATAGATATTTTAGCTAAATGAATAACGTTTGTTTATTGCCATCACTCCCTCTGTGGTGTGACCTTCTAAAGTGCTTAGATATAAGAAAGGCTTTGGTATATCTTTTTCAGGGACAGGCAGCCTGATTGGTTCATTGAAGTTGGTTTAGCTAAGGGCTCAAAGGTCACAGGGTGTTCTCACTGGTTTTAAAAATTTTGCTTCATGAGAGAGTTGATTTGCCACTTTTCAGGGTCCAATATAGGAATACCCTAATTTCTCAAGCTTTTCATAAATTTGTACTGCCACAGACTTTTTTGTGTGCTTAAGCTGGTGGCTGTGTTGTTCATGTTAAAACTATTGACTCTACAAATAGGTATCATATTTCATTCTAACATGGCAACTACAGCTTGAAATATTTCTAAAGAGAACGTCTCGACTAGGAATAAAGTTAGTATCGTTAGACACAGAAGAGTTTGGACCATGAAAGTCTCCAAATACTTTAACTGTGGAATATTTGTTGGGGCACTGAAAGGTTGTAGGCACAGACTTAGTGTTATTTCAGCAGGTCTGCACAGTAGATCATTAGGCTCGGCCATCATGTTTATACACAGTAATAACATTGTATCTATTAAAACAAAAAATTATGGATGGGTTTAGGTGACATTTACATGAAACAAATTTTTTTTGGTTTGCGTTTACCACTTACATCTTGGTAAACCTCAAATAAGTGTTAGTTTTTGCAATTTTCAGTACTGTATACTTGAGATACAGTAATGACTTACTTGTGGTAGCAAAATGTTAACTAGTAACCTCTGCCTTCTCAGGTAATTGACGACGATACCAGCATTCGCTTGCTCGAGGTGGAGATGGCCCACAGTGAACACACACTCTTCCTTCCTCCACCAGAGCCTCTCTACCTTCCTGAGGGGGTTACCTACAGTTACTGTGTAAGTTGCTTCCCGTTCCAGCATTTACCTTCCCTTCCCTTCTCCTTCCTAGATGGCAGTCGGGTGATCATAATGGGGTTGTGGGAGCTGGCAGCCATCACTCCTTGCTTGGCATCATCCTGTTCAGGTTCCACCTCTGCCGAGGCTGAATTAGTTGTCTGGGTTTACCTTCAGCCTTTGTCTCTGCACAGTGTTGATTGCTTTAGTGTTCTTATAGGCATTATTATCAATTGTTTGTATGTCTTTGACTGTGGCTTCCTGCTTTAGCTTGTTTACAGGCTCCCTTTCTCTGAATAGTTATACTGAGCAAAATATGATGTAACCTCAGAGTTATCTTATGTGTGGCCATTAGTATAGGTTTTGGCTTTGTTTCATCCCTTTATTATCTTTAGCAGAGCCTTTTGAAACTCTTGCTTTGGATTAGTGTTGGTATCTATTTAATCGTAGAGTCTATACACTGAATAGCTCTCGTGCTCTTCAGTTGCAGTGCTATGTAGTCAGAGGATGTAATTGTGTAGTGTTGTGTGTGTGTGCTTTTTTTTTTTTTTTTGTCTGAGGCTTCTCTAGCCATCTCCTGCCATTGGATGTGAAGGGATGACTCTGCTCGTGTTGAATACTTGCCTCTCATATGCAGGCTGTTACTTTGGGCATTGCCCTGGGGTTGTTTGATGTGGTTGCTGTGCTAGAAGTATTTTTCCTGGGTCATGCCTCAGCCAGATGGAGCTATTGTGTGTCCCCAGCTGGTACTGAGCCTACTTCATGTGTGTCATGCCAAAGCATTCATTGGATGATGAATTGGGGAGTTTACTGCACATTCAGTACCTGTGACAAAAATAATAAATCGGACCTTGCTGGTCCCCTTTAATCTGCATGGATAATGGTACATCGGGTTCTGTGCAGTGATCCCATAGGATGTGGCTAAGTTTCTGACCATGAACATATTTTGGGGCTTTGCTGCAGTGTGTGTGACAATGCTCAGCTTCTGCACCAGCTCAGCCACTTATATATTCACTTTCAATTAGTGCTCCATGTTACCACACTTGATTGTTCACCATTTCTCCAGGAAGACGATCATCTGTTGACCTAAGTGTTTGTGTCCTGGTACCTGCCAAAAATCACCTTCCTTTGTACCCAGTGAGATTGTACACTTCAGTCTTCCTGATAAGTCATTGCTGATTGTGGGATTTTGACTTTTTCATGACTGCAATTTTTTCCTGGCTGCAATTGCGTGCAACATCACCAATGTGCACATGGCAGACGCTTCACAAAGCTGTCAGAATCCTGCAAATACGAGAGAAAGCGAACAAGGCCTGGGAGCACGGTCGAATAAGAGTCCTTTATGGTCTCCTCTCAGACTTGCTTCAACTGGTCCTGATCCACATTGGTCATGGGAATCTCCTCAATGCAATTGAAGCAATTTAAGGGACTTGTAGGGTCCTCATCACATTTATAGTTTGGTAATTAATAGGCAACTCAATGTTGAAGACACCTGGGGCTGAAGGCTTAAGTATGAGTAAAGGCAGTACAGTATTTAGAAGTGGTTCAATGGAAACGCCGTATAATGCTTAACAGTAGTTTTACACTTGACCACTAATACAATGGGTGCTTGATTTACTCTAGATTGGTATCAGCAAAGCTATTATCGCATCAGGGAGACTCTTGACGTCTAACCAATCGATTCCAATCCACCCGTAGGCAAAACCTAACCTGACATGATTGACAAGGAATCACTAACACGGCATACCCAACAGTGCCGGAGTGCAAAAAGGGCACTAGAGTTCCAAACAGGATATTTGGGCAATAATCGTGCACAATAAATCAACATTGGCACTGTCAATGGGACAAGCAATAATGATGCACAAACTCACATCACAAAATAACTAAATGTGTGGTGTATGTGAAGCTCACATTTACTGATGGGTGCAGTGACATGATGCCACACAGATAAACACGTATACACCCTTGGGGTGTGTCTGGGTCTCCACCTACACCTGTGTCAGGTGTTGAGGTACTTTAAAAAGAAAACAAGATCTTGTACTTACAGGTAGGCTAGCCCCTCACCATTCACTTACTCATTCATGCAAGCATCCGTGTAGGTGGCCTGACAACTGGTCTCGTTCATACACGACTTGAGGGCACCATAAGATGAAAGGCTTTCCCGACACCACTGTACTTGATATTGCAGGGTACTTGCAGGAGGTGTGCTGTTTCTACACAGACCGCAGGTGGTATCTTATGTAGACACACTTGCAGGTAAAAGACACACCCCCCAAAATTGCACTAGGCATATGATGTAAGAGTGGGCAGGCAGTGATGTCATATAGTACAGTGAGGGCAGAGCGGGCAGCAGCTAGCGGCTACACGCGCTCGAGACTTTGAGTGGTGGCGGTGGCTAAGCTATTACACCATGCAGGTGCTTGTGGTAAAGTCACACGAAGTACTTAGGCGGCGGCACTTTCCTTAGTTCACTCTAGGTCACCGAGTCGCTCACAGATCTCGATCTCACTGTCACCAAATGTTACCCAGTACCAATATATTTCGTTCTGGCGATTCACAGACACTGGTCAGTCGAAGGCTTCAAAAACAATATAGTAACAGTCACGATGCTAGGCGAGCGCTGGTATATTGAATGAGACGCAGAGGGTAACTTGACGGTAAGGAACGAATGGTGTGTTCTTGTCTATTGGCCAATAGATAGAAAGACATATCAATCACGAACGAAGTTCCTCACAAGAATGGCGGTGCAAGGAGGGATACTAGGGCCACCTTGGGCACAACCGCCAGGCCTACAAACTAACCAATGGCATCGCAACACAGGTGCAGGATCCAATGATATTGGCCCTTACATGATGGGTAGAAGAGTGATGTCATGACTGTCACAGTTGAGGTTGACTCAAAGGTCACTGCTTATCTCTCCTGCCTCGCTGGAATCCCCTCTTCCACCACCTGGCACTTGCAACCTGTGTATTCCCCGACTCAAGTTGCTATGGCAGAAATGCTTAATTCCACTAATCTAATTTCCCCCTAGGCATATGGCGGCCTCCGCATGATCCATGTATTCCTATGCATATGGGTATTCCAAGGACACCAGACATAAGTCTTCCATCCAGGGGTAAAAGAGAGAGGCCTTGTGCACTGCTTGGTGCACTGTGCACTGCAATAAGCCATTAAAGTTGGCTGTGGAAAATTCTTGAGAGGCCATTCTCTCACACTTGATAGTATAGACTGGGTGTCTCGATTCAGAATTATTACAATTAATTTTCCATCATCTTTCACTGTGCAGTCAATATTTGTCTATTAATTGTCTCTTGCAATACTGAGTATAATAAATTTGCTCATCACACATGTTTTTAATAGCTCATTTTTTCAATGCTTTTAATTTTAATTTATATTTTTGCTTCTTTCAGGGTTTCCCCAAGCTTAAACCTGAGCTTTTTCCTATGCACGAACCCAAGCCCGTGTTGCCACCTCAGGTGAAGGCCCCTCAGACTGCACCAGCCTCCCCTCTGGCCCGACGCACAAAGCAGGAAGTAAAGACGGATCAGAGACTGGCGTCGAGGTATTCTCAGACACCCATACTCTGGGCCAAGTGTTTGCTTTCTACGTGTTATAGGTAAATTATTGTTAAAGTCCACTATGCTTGTTGGGGATGAGGGAACCGCGAGATGGTTCCCAGGATTGGTGTCCCTGTGGCCCAGTCTTGGAGATGGGGTTATAATCAAATTTGTGCCCTAGATGGGGAATTGCTGTATTTTTCAGTGTATAAAATGCACCTATTTTACAAGGATGTTTTGCTTGATTTTTAGTATGTTTCATCATATGTTTATTGAAAGTAGTGTAGACCTGGGTAAATACTGGTTCAGTTACAGGGATGAACGCTGAGATACATGGCAGTTCTTGCTCTGTGTAGCTCCCCCTTTGATACAGGCAGTACCGGTAGGCAGAACTCCATTGACTGAAGCCCTGGTTTAATATATTGCATATTAGCCTGATAGCTCCAGGGAGCCTCCGGGGCTCACCCATAAAATGGTGTTTCATTACATTCAACGCTGGTTTTTTAACTCGGCTGTCTGAAAACCTGCAATTATCTGGGGACTGTTGATTGTCCAGACACTGGTAATTTACCCCATATAAGAGTTTTTGGTTGTGAAGAACGACAAGCAGTAATTACAGGTATACAATTATGCATCATGGCACAAAAAACACTACCTCAAAAATGCCCAGTTAACCTCATTTGAAAGGAGAGGAATCTTAGTAAAGTACTTTAACCTAATTCTATAATAATAATAGTCTATTATTGGGTGAAAGTGCTTAGATTCCTTCATTTCAAATGAGGTCATTTGTGCATTTTTGAGATACTCGATTATATGTCTTAAACTATTGTCTCATCTTTCTAGCCTGTGGTTTACGCAGCTGCCAGCATTTGCCCTCACACAGCATCACAAGGCTCGCTTCCTACAGTTGGCATTCAAGATCCTCACTAACATGCAGAAGCTGCATCTATCACAGGCTGATGAAGTAAGCAGCAAATGTTTATTCTGTAGGACGGTCATCGTGTACTGTATTGTAAGGCATTGGTGAGGAACTCCAGCTCACGAATGTAACATGCTGAAAACAATAGATGGATGCAAGAGCCGTTTTCAAAATTTATGGGCATCGTTCTTTATTTTTTGTTGTTGAGGATGTGTAATGTGGCATTTTATGTATTTAAATTTGAATGTGATTATTTCAGATATCAGTCAACTGCTCTTCTTATTTATGGTTAAACTGCACTCTGATTTAGCATTTATAAATAGAATTCCTACAGAATTGTTAATTGTTATAAATTGAATTATGCATGATTTTCTTCTCCAAGATTTCCAAATACAGTACAATACTCTGAAATCAGCAGCATATAGCTAGAGGCTTAGGGTCCGTGTAGGAATATCCCTGCAAATAAAAAATCAAATTCTGTTTCTGGCAGTAATACTGTAGGAGGAATATTTACTTGATTTACCTGAAGGCCACTAACACTAATGGCCTCGATAAGGACAAAAGCTCCTCATCGAGGCCCAAAAAGCTTGCCAAAGGTCTTCCCCTTTATCTTGATAATTTTTTAAGCTGGGTTTTAAATGTTCAGCAGAGTTTTGGCATTTATGGCTTTGGCGGGTAGGTGGTTCCATGGGTTTATAACCCTGTGGGCAAAAAAGCATCTCCTGTTTTCAGTCCTACAAATGTATATGTCTGTTGCCATTTTTCATGCTCTGTGCCCAGAGCCTGAGCACTTTATGAAGAGCATTAATCCTGCTTACACAAAAGATGTTTTCATTCCTCACTTGCATGTTGCAGTTCATCTTAATTATGCATCCGAAAATATATACTGTACTAAAGATGATAACACGGTACACCAGACTTCATTAATTGGTATTTAAACAAATTCCTGAGCTTCTTTGAGAAATAAAAAGCATTTATTATTATTCAGATCGCTGGCTCAAACTAACACTTGTTCTCTTCATAACCATCTGATCGCTCTACAAAGAATGTGGTTCACATAACATGATCAGTTTTGTCGTGAAAATTAGTAGAGATTCCAGATTTGACTGGTCGGCGTTATTCCTAGTTCTCTCTCTTTTTTTTAATCTGTATTTTGTTAATTTTAGTGTGCCTTGAATCCTAAAGGATTTATAAATTACCAGCAGGTGTCATGTCTTGTTTGCTCATAGATGTTTTTCCAAATTTGCTCCTTCAGTTACCTATGTATAAATGTTGAGTTTAATTAATTCTGTTAGAGTAGAAAGCTCTGCAGACTACTTATTTTGTTTAGCTATAATTACTGAACAGAAATACGTGTTTTAAAACGTGTTTATAGTGACAATTTAAGTTTTCAAATTATTTAATTGCTTGTTATAATTTACATATTATCTTATCCTTGGGTTTTCTAGAGATAAAGCTTTGCAAGTTTTATTAAAAATACTTAAGAATTGTCTGATTTCTTTAAAATTAAGCTCAAAATGTATTTTAAAAATCTAGGCTAGCTTTTTGTCATTAAAAAACACATGTTTGTTTAAGTCTGAAGCAACTCGTGCAAATATCCACAGCACTCTGGAAAATCACTTTACCAGGGCATATGGTTCAATGCTTCAGAAATTGTTGTACTGATTGAGAAATCAAATTCCTCATTTTCTGTTGCTTTGTATTGTACAATTCTTCTGCTATTCTTGTCAGGTGAGCTACCGAGTAATGATGCAGCTGTGTGGCCTCTACTCCCAGCCCATCCTGGCTGTCAAAGTATTGTGCGAGATGCGACAACACGGCATCACGCCTAACGCCATTACTTATGGGTACTACAATCGGGCTGTTATGGAAAATAAGTGGACCCATTCAAACCTCTTTTGGAACAAGCTCAGGTAAAGATTGAACCAAAATAACATTACCTTACCACAATACATTACCACATGGGATTGCAACCTTCCATCTAAATAGGATACAGTAGTTAGTTTTAGTGAGGTACATTGAAATCATAAGCAAAGATGATACCTAATAAACATTATAATCAGCTCAACAAGTTCTGTATGTGACTCTGAAGTACCAATAAATTACAGGAATGGGTTCTTAAAGAAGAATTTAGATAATTATATAACAATGTTGGTATTTGTAAGCAATATTTCAACTAGCTCATTTTACAAGTGAAGTGGCTGGAGTGGAGAAGGGACTTGGGTGAATAATGTTGCTGCTTGACTGAAAATATTCAAATCATCACAACCTGATCATGCTGTTTCTCTTTCAGGAATGTTGTAATTGGTGTGTCTGCATTTAAACGTTCGGGCCTGGAGCGAGCACAGAGAAGAAAATCGTCTCTCTCCCTGGATGTGGTGGACAAGTGTCTAATGGGTAAGAATTGCTCCAGTGTGACAGCATCAGGGAGCATGCTCTTGATGTTACTGGCTTCCCACTCTGTGTTCCAGTAGTTCCTTTGCATGCTGAAGTTAATATTACCCTACATTTTGTGCATAACACTGTAAAAGCTAATTTATGTTCAGCTTGTAAGGCAGCCATTGCCTTGTATGGGGAATTGTAAAAGAAACATCAGTCAATTGAACAAATCCACAAGGGCAGTGATGAGGGTTTGAACCTATGTCCGAGATGATCCCTGACGCACCTTAGTCCATTGCGCCATGACATGGTAAAAGAGCAGCAGGATCTGTGTGGGGGCAGTAGCACTCATGGTTGCAATTCTTTTACTATGTCGTGGCGCAATCGACTAAGGCGCATCTGGGATCATCTCCGACGTAGGTTCGAACCCTCATCACGGCCCTTGTGGATTTGTGCATTTGATGTGTCATGCTATTGTGATTTCTGTGTGTATCAGTCAGTTGTTTTATCATCATCCCTAACTTCATTTCCTTCTTTGATGGGGGAAGTACTTCTCAGGGCAGGATGAAAAGTTGTATAGGGAAATAGGGTGAAATGTGTTATTGGCACTAGTTTCCAACCATTCGTGAAGTTCTCCTCTAGTTCTTTACTTGTAACCTTGGTTTCATCTGCAAACATTGACATGTATATACTCATTTCTTCTGATAGGCCTTTAACATAATTTAGAAAAAGCAACAGTCATAGGATAGTCCTTATCCCCAAACTTTCTACTCTCCAATCTAACATTTCCCCTCTAACTATGACTCTTTGTTCCCAGTCTGTCAGGTACTCGCTTACTCAGTTTGCAGATCTCCTTTGCCGGGTAAATACGACAGGCTCATCATACTGTGCTGCTTGGAACATTTTGTTCTGAGTAGTTGAATCTTAAAACCACAACAACTACTACTTACTCGGTTGTCTTTCCCAATATCCCAACTTGTCACTCCATCTTGTGTATTAGTCGTTCGAGAGGAACTGTATCAACAGCTTTCTAGTGGTAGTGGTCCATCTGGTGTTTCTGGCAGTCAGTTGTCACCATTTGGTGGACACCAACCTGGTTCTAGTGTGTAAATCTGGAACCTCTTGTCAAATTCCTTAATCAATATGTAATTTCCCTCGAGCTGTTGCTTGTGCCGGCATTCTGATCACATGGTCTTGTATGGTTGTTTTCCTCCATGTGTGGTTTTGCTTCAGATTAAGATAGATAATTGCTTTTGTTGCAATGTATTGTGTCCAAGTGCAAACCCTCTGTGAAAACTCTCCTCAGCTGGGTTTGAATCCACATCACATCTGTAGGTGTTTTTTCCATATTCGGATCAGTTGATTTGAAAAAGCTCTAGTTCTTGTGCCCTCTCTTGAGTTTGGAGTAAATCCTAGATGTCTATGTAAAGTCACCCAAGTGCAGATATCCCGCCATATTAAAAGCTAGATGTTTAGATAGTAAAGACAATATGTAATATCTTAGTATATGGGAGCTTGGGAGTCCAATCGAGCCTGGCCTCAGACCGGGCTCGGGGAGTAGAATTCCCAGAACCCTCTCCAGGTATGGGACATGGTTGGCAGTGGGTTCCAATCCCACCTGCAGTCACCAAGAGCTGCATGTCTCTCTCAAAACAATCAAGAAATAAGATCTTCAACCCTGTTTTTCTGCTATACGGTACTTTCCCTCTTCTCCACAGAAGGGCCTCCTAAACCACTGGAAAATGGGATAATGATTATAAAACAGCTCCAAGTATTGGTAAGGGTGAGGTCTTGAGCTTCAAACTCGGCAGCGTGATGGTATCTCGCCATCACTACCCGACAATGTTTTCTTGTAACTTTGTGGTCATGCTGCTGTGTCATGCAGTTTCCCTTCAGATTATATTAGCCTGTTTATGCTGCAATTATAATGATAGTTCTGGTTTTTCCACTAGTCTTCTGTATTAAAATTTGGGGAAATTGTTAAATTTTAAATGGATTCAAATTTAATATCTTCATGCACTGGTTGCACATACACCCTAACTCTTGTAAGTAACTTAATAAATGAATCCCCTGTGGGCCAGATGCTGACAGTGCCTCACGAGTGTCGCTGGAGAGTGGCACATCCTTGGACTCGCACCCACCTGCACCTCACACCAAGACTGACACTTTAAGCTCAGGTGAGACCATTATATTGGCAGCTAATATACACACATAATTTCATGTTGTGTTGGATTCCACTACTTTATTTAAGATTCTTGGTTAAAAGTGCCGGTATTAATTCATCCAGCGTGTCGGCATGTACTCTACCTCTGTAACTATTGGTTTACATGTAATTGTGTGCTCACGTCTTCTGTTTGCACTTCTCTCTAGAATGCCTTGTCATATATAGATATCTGGAAGGATTTCCTTGGTAGCTTTTGAGCTAAGTTGTGGTACAGCCAAGTCTTGAGGAAACACACTAAGCTTCTGAGACTTGCCTTTATCTACCAAGATCCAGAATATACAGTAATAATAGTAATTCCCATTGTCACGGACAGGATGCCTGTATAATGGGAACATAGTAGTTAGCTGTGTGTTTGTGTTGTGATAGTGCCCGGCCATTGTATGTATTGTGGATTTCACTTTTACCAGTGGTGCTCTTGGGTCAGTTAATGATTGATGCTTGGTTTGTATTGCCAGGATGCATCATATGTTCTGTCCTGTGACTGCTGTGTGGGGCATTATTTGCACGCTGTTCGTGCTCTTTGGGTCGATGCCTTGTTTATCAACCATGTGCGTCTCGTCTATAGTGCCACAGCCTGGACCTCCCAAGTTATCCACGTGGTGGTTTGATTCGGTCAGGTGGCTGCAGATCCTTATTCTTGTGATATTGGGAAGCTTGTGGCTCTAGTGGATTTCTTTGTTAAATATGTCCACAGCTAATATCTTGGCTCTGGGGTTTTAGGGTTCCATTAGGGTGTTTGTCTTAGTGATATTTATTGGATGCTTCTCAGCCCCATCAACCTAATGTTCTCCTAGCCTGGGCTCTCTCCTTCTGCCATCTTCTTAAGTAAGTAAGTGCTGACATTTTTATGTTTACTAATTTCCACTTAATTCAGAAATGCCAAAAATACCAACTACTTTTGCTGAGGCACTGTTGAGTCAGCTTGGGGAGCTACTGTGGGTTGGCCCATCCCAAAAACCAAAGATTGATTCTTCAGAAGCTTTGTGTCCCTGCCCTGTTTACCTTCTCTGTAGGGTAGAAGAGTGGCTCAGGCAGCCTATGAGTGACAGGACAAGCTGGCTGAAGCATTGAGTAACCTTGGTTACCACCTAGTGGCAGCCAGACTCATCATTGTTAGGATGTTTACCCCTCTGTAGCAGTCATTTGTGTCGTTACCGTTTCATACTTTACTTAAAGCAGTTGCTATTTTTGGTGCACTTATGCTTTCTGATGAGCTTTTTCTCCATTTTGGGTTAATTAGTAATCCCTCAAGGCTCCCTTTCCTTAGAGAGCAAACTCAATTCTGTTCGTGGCTTTCGATCGACAAGGATTGGGTCTTGGAGATGGTATCTCCCTCGAAGGCTTGACCAGACCCAGGCTTGGCTCAGGGAGGTACTGAAAGCCTCACTATAAAAAGGTGCTTCATTACAATCTTAGTCAGATACAAATTTTCCATTGTCAGAAAACCCTAATTAGACAATAACAAATAGTGACTTCCCCAATAAAATCATACTTCATATGCCCATATGCAGAGAGGGCATCTGTGCACAGTATCTTAAGCCTTTGAGCCTTTTATGACAGTGTTCACTTCTTTAGCTATCACAAGGTGTTGTGTGAATAATTTCTTGCTGACTTGCTCCTTTTAGTCTCTTGGCAATACACAAACCAGATTCACATACTACCTTGAATGCCATGTAAATATTTGGTTTGATTTTGTTACAGATCCAGGGTACTGCTCTGTTAGTGAAACGAGTGAGTGTGTCAGTTCTCCTGGTGCTCCCCCGACAGCTGGTGAGTTGGAGTTCTTGGCCCCCCTCTACAGTGTCCGTAGAGTACACTCACACATTAAGAGACAATTGAGTGACTAAAACATAGTAGATCCATAATGGGTTGTAGTTATTAGACCAGATATTTGTGAGGATGGTAATAGCTGATCCTAAAGTAGACTCGGGATGGTCTATAATGCAGAATTTTCATCAAGAACTGGCACGTGGAATAAATGGTTGACTAGCCTCTCAATATTATCAGTACATAAGAAATGTCCTTTCAAGGCTTGAGTGTTAAAAATTATTATTATGCAGTTGATTTATTTTACACATTTAATGAGTTGGCTTAAAACTCTCATTAAGAAATTCTAACAATTTATAACAAAAATCATTAAACATTTAGGTACAGTATAAATATGTCATGGCCACACACACACACACACACACACACACACACACACACACACACACACACACACACACACACACACACACACACACACACACACACACACACACGCACGCATGCATACGTACGTCAGGGTGAAAACAGAGGCAGAAAGAAAATATGAAAATGACATAGCAAGCAAGGCAAAGACTCGACCTAAATTGCTGCACAGTCACATCAGGAGAAAAACAACAGTGAAGGAACAGGTAATGAAGCTGAGTATAGGAGCAGACAAATTCACTACAAATGACAAGGAAGTGTGCAAAGAACTCGATAAGAAATTCCAGGAGGTCTTCACAGTAGAGCAAAAGGAAGTCCCAGATATAGGAGAGGGAATATCTAACCAATCGCCACTAGTTGAGTTTGTGATTACCAGTGGGGAGGTGAGGAAGCATCTGCTTGAGTTGGAAGTGACAAAAGCTATAGGCTCGGATGGAGTCTCGCCTTGGATACTGAAGGAAGGAGGAGAAGCTCTGTGACAGCCACTCACCATTGTGCATAAAAAATCACTGATAACAGGTGAACTGCCAAAAATTTGGAAGATGGCTAATGTAGTCCCGATATTCAAGGAAGGTGACAGAAAAGAGGCACTGAACTACAGGCCAGTGTCACTAACTTGTATACCTTGTAAGCTGATGGAGAAAATTGTGCGAAAAAAACTAGTGGAACATCTGGAGGGAAAGAACTTTGTATCACAACATCAGCATGAGTTCAGGTATGTCAGATTATGCCTCACAGGACTGATTGATTTCTACGACTACGCAACAAAAATCAAGCAAGAAAGAGAGGGCTGGGCAGACTGCATATTTTCTGATTGACAAGCTTTTGACACAGTACCACATAAGACTAGTACACAAACTGGAGATGCAGGCAGGAGTGAAAGGGAAGGTACTCCATTGGATAAGGAAGAACCTAAGCAAAAGAAGACAGTCACTGTGGGGGTGAGGTCTCAGAGTGGCGAGGTGTCACCAGTAGAGTCCCTCAGGGATCAGTTCTTGGACCTATACTGTTCCTCGTATACATAAATGATCTCCCAGAAGGAATGGACTCGTTCCTCTTAATGTTTGCTGATGATGCAAAAATTATGAGGAATATTAAGACAGGAAGATAATATGAGGTGGTCAAACAAATGGCTACTAAAGTTTTAACCAAGTAAGTGTAAGGTAATGAAATTAAGGGAGAAAATATGAGGGCCAGACAATGAATTCCGAATTGGAGATGAAGTCCTTCACGAAATGGACAGAGAAAGATCTAGGAGTTGATATCATGCCAAACCTGTCTCCTGAAGCCACATCAAAAGAATAACATTGGCGGCATATGCGAGGCTGGCTAACATCAGAATCGCCTTTAGAAACCTGTGTAAGGAATCTGAACCTTGTATACTACGTATGTAAGGCCAATCCTGGAGAATGCTGCCTCAGCATGGAGTCCGTACCTTGTCAAGCAGAAGACAAAGCTGGAAAAAGTCCAAAGGTATGCAACTAGACTAGTCCCAGAACTAAGAGGCATGAGTTACGAGGAAAGGCTGTGGGAAATACACCTTACGACACTGGAAGACACAAGAGTAAGGGGAGACATGATCACAACCTACAAAATCCTCAGAGGAATTGGCAGGGTAAACAAGGATAAACTATTCAACACTGGTGGGACACGAACAAGGGGGGACAGGTGGAAACTGAGTACCCACATGAGCCACAGAGACGCTAGAAGGAACTTTTTCAGTGTCAGAGTAGTTAACGGATGGAATGCATTAGGCAGTGATGTGGTGGAGGCTGACTTCATACACAGTTTCAAATGTAGATATGATAGAGCCCAGTAGGCTCAGGAATCTGTACACCAGTTGATTGACAGTTGAGAGGCGGGACCAAAGAGCCAAAGCTCAACCCACGCAAGCACAAATAGGCGAGTTCATACATATATATACACATACATAAATGTATATACACATACATACATATACATACATACACATACATATACATACATACATATATATGGTATGTGTGTGTGTGTGTATAATATGAAATTGAAATTTGATATAATTTTAATGATTGGTAACTTACATTTATACTTCTGATAGTGCAGTAAAAAATTTATCAAAATTATTACTTTGAAGCTGTGAAAGTCTTCATTTGTGCCAGCTGCCAATTCTGATTGGAACTAAGAATCAGTACCAAGGTGATCTTTAGTTTCCATCAAGGTTTTTAATAATGACATTCTCTTACAGAAGCATGTAAACAGTTAAACCTCTTAATTAGAACTCATACGAGGAGTCGGGGCCAGCTCTAGCTACTGGCAACTCTGGTTATTACCCCATGGCACTGGTTGTTACACGGTGCCCCTCTTACTTGTCTTCCATTTTCCAAATGCAAAATGAAAAGTGTGAAAATAAATGAAACTAATAATGAGTAAAAAAAACTTGCATTGAATTTAATGAAACTTCAATTTGTGGGTGATCCCTGGTGGCTCCCTGAAGATACTATACTGACATAGTGCCAGCCTACTAGGTGCCATCAGTCAGTTTTTTTAGGCCTACTGGGGACCATAAGCCAGGACCTGGCCATCTCTAAAGAGGGGCAGAGAGCAGTGGCATGTGTGATAAAATGTCTATGAATCAATCATGTCTGCCACCCTCTGGGTAAAGCACCTAGAAAATTGGCGAGACAAAACAGACCACTGCTGATAAGAAACAAAACTGCAGCCTCAATACCACCAAAAGAATTTCCCCAACAGTGTAAACAAAACACAGAAAATTCATGAAACTGGCACTAGCTTTTGCCTTGCCTCCCCCTTGTTTCAGGGGGGGGGGGGGGAGGAGGGAGACAGCCAGGGGTCAGCCAGCTGCTCCATTCTTTGTTCTATGATAATGGAAACACCCCCAACTTTCTGGAGAAAGGGATGGTGTAGGGGAGCCACCAGGGCTCTCCAGGAAATTGGCACTTCATTACATCCAACTCTGGTATGCTGTGGGATCCCCTTGTGACTCGCTGAAGCTATCAACCCATGGAGAAGGAACCCAAAAATGGGCACTAAACCAGAAAGGAGGGGTATATTGGACAAAAGCAGACAAACCAAGAGACACAGCATGAACCACAGAAAATTGCCAGGGAAAGAGCAAGAAACGGTGCCGGATAACCACGGGGTGACCCCAAAACACCTATGCCTGAACAGCCTAGCTCACAAACTGGGACAGCAGAAGAGCTGCCAAACTTCAATCATGTGTGTGTGTGAAAGATACCGCAGGCCGACCAGTAACCGACTCAGCAGACCCTGCATGAAGGCCCAAGGCCCCACCAGAGGCCCAGGAACCAGGCATGATAAGAAGAAGCTGGTCCCAAGCACCTCGCAAATCATCGCACTCCCTGCAGCCAACGAGCAGCTGAGAAAATTTTCCACAGAGTCATCCGATAAGCAGTTAATGTACAAGGGACTGAGACACGAAGGTATTTGAATGAGAAGGCATAGTCTATTGGTATGTTATTAACCTTTAGTTTTTGTGGTCTACTTTTGCGATTATCAATTTCTGTTAAATACAATAATTTTTACAGCGTTGATTACAAGACCAAGGCTCTCACAAGCTGTATGTATACAATTAAAGATTGTTTGCACTTCGCTGTGGGTTTTGGTATGCACAAAGATGTCATCGACATAGCTAATAGTGATTTTTTAGGACTAGTTGGGATTAATTATAGTAAGTCATTATAATTAATTAGAACATTAAACAATAAGTAGGTTTTAGTACTCCTCCTCGTGGGGTGCCTAGTTGCATCAATTTAGTTTCACTTTTGTAACCTCGGAACAGAAGATAACCTCGTATCCATTGTAACAATTGACCACCATATCAACAATGCAAAGACAGACTTAAGGTTCTTAGCTGTAGTTGGATACAGCCATGAATATAGTGCAAATATTAGAATAGCCAAAAAGAAGTACTGAGCATATATAGTATATGGTCTCTGATGAACTGTCATGCACCAGCTTTATTCCTGCAAATGTGTGTGTGTGTGTGTGTGTGTATAATATATATATATATATATATATATATATATATATATATATATATATATATATATATATATATATATATATATATATATATATATATATATATATATATATATATATATATATATATATATAAATAATATGTATGTATGTATGTGTGTTTATATGTAGTGCCTAAGACTGACACCTGCACAACACCGAAAAGCAAAAGGAAGAGGAATCCCAGAAGGGCAACCTATAAAAGGGAAAGTGACCAGGAAAACTGACCATGAAGGAGGAACCACTGGGGAACCACGAAAGATTTGGGGTCCAAAAATCGGTTCCACCAAGCCTTGGCAACTGCTGCCAGAGGACTCCAGGGGCAGAACTAACAGAAAATTGGGCTGACAGTATGAGATATGAGATTCCTTATGAATACTATTTATTCACATCACTTTTGCCATTCATTCATTTATCATTTCTTATTTCTGGGAGTGTGACTTGAATAAAAATGGGTACCCAGAATCTTCAGTGGGATGAGAAGTCTCGTGTGCCTTGGTGCTCGAATCTGAAGGGGGGGCAACCTCCGGAGCTGCCAAGCCATATCCCAAATATAGATCCCGCCCCCAAAACCGAACTCATACATGGCAGGGGAAAAAAGAGAAGGGGTGAAGTCTGCCCAAAGGGGAACACAAAGGAGAAGGAAAAAAAAAGAATAGGAAAATGAGATGTAGACAAAACCACACTACCAAATCCAAGAGACAAATGCCAATGGGCAGGCCCAGGGCCTCCAACTGGGTACACAGCCTGACCACTACACTCCAGGAACTAAAGATGCAAGTAGATGCTGCCTGAAGCCTCTCTAAAAGGGGCATAAAAGAGCAGCATGAAGGGAGCAACCCTTCAAAGGGAAGGGATGAGAGAATAGTAGACCAAACAAGATATGTAAGACTGGAAGGTCTACCTTAATGCACTGGCAGGGTCACGTGAATCGGTGTCTCACCACCCAAAATCACTCATGACCTGGGAAAGACACAATCGAAGACAACTGGCTTACCAGAAGGGCAAGGGTCACCCGCGAAGAGACCCCCGAAGGGAGTGAACCCCGAACATTCCAGGGAATACAGTACAACCCTGGCATTGCAAGGGCAACACTAAAGGAGCACCCAGCGAAGAGAACCCTGAGCACATGCAGCGCCAAGCACTCTTAACCACTCCTGGCTCACAGTGCACCAAAGTGCAAAGGAACAGCCGTGAAGGCAAAACCCTATTTAGCTGGAAAGCAGGACACCGGAGCCAGAGTGAGAGAAGTGGCACCACACATCTAACATCAGCAAAGGACTGAGGGTGGAGCAGCTGGCTGACCCCCTGGCTGCCTCTGGCTCTCCCCACATATGAAGGGAGGGGAGGGGGATGTGGGGCATATGAGCTAGTGGTCAGTTCATGAATTTTCAATGATTTGTGTTGTTGGAGTTGTTGTTTTGGCAGTTTTGAGGTTGCAGTTTCATTTCTGATCATCAGTGGTCTGTTTTGTCTCGCTGATTTTTGGGTTGCTTTTCCTGGTGGGTGGCAGACATGATTATGATTTGCAGAGATTTTATCAAACATTGATTGCTCTCTGCACCCAATAAGGGACCTGCACCTACCTAAAAGTATCCCCGGTACAGTAGGAGACTTTTAAGCCTACTGGGGACCTATAGTTCTCCATTAGGCCTAAAAGAATTCCGAAGCTGATGGCATGTAGTAGTTTGGCATTATATTTGCATAGTAGATTCAGAGAGCCACAAGGGGCTTACCCCCAGAAAAAGTGATATTTTTTTGTAAAATTCTTTAGACATGCAATATGTCACAGTTTACATACAGATGTAATTCAACATGTTATAAATCTAGGGCATTAAAGCTTGGCTTGCCCAGGGTTCCAGTAATCCTAGGGTTGGCCTTACGAACAGTCAGCCTGTCTCTTGATGCTAATTTTGAAAATTTTATAAATTTGGAGGTGAAACTATGATTTCACCAATTGTGTTCAGGCAAAAATACATTGTTGTAATTGAGTCAGAAACATGGGAGATGTTATGACATAGATTTTTGCTTTATGGAGACAGATTGAACAGGACCAGGATTCATCAAGCAAATACCTATCCATTTTAAGAGACCTATATGTCTTTCCTCCATCATGGCAGCTTAGTTTGTATTTACTAAACAGTTTGAGCTCTGAAGCACTACGAAGTTGTCTGTAGTAGTAGTAGTAGGCATCCATCAGTCTTGGGAGACTATGGAGTTGTCCTCTGGTTGTCGGTCTGGAGTTGCCTCTCCAGGGCGCAGTCAGGGTAGGTTGAAACAGAGAAGCTGTTACCCCAAGCAGCAGTTACCCCAGTTAAGCTGTTACCCCTCTCCACGGCTCCGAAAGTCTCCAATGGAAAGGCAAACACCAATATGATTGGTTCCAGTGTCGTCACAGGAACTGTAAGCTCTGGAGACTTGACCTCGAAGTTGGTGAAAGAAGACACAGGGACTCCAAACCTGGAGACTGCCATGGTCGGGGCCGGAAAAGAACCACCCCACGAAGGGCATGAACGACCCCAGCTTCCTGAAGCAGAGCCTGGGCCACACGAGCCCCAGGAGGTGGATGTCCCAGTCCTGCACCTACGGGTTCCAGACAGATTGTCATGGCTCTCTTTCACCCGAGGTCGGCTTCCTTCAAGTCCAAGCAGAAGGAAGAGTGAACATTATTAAATACAACAATTATTATTAGAATAATTACTATAATAATAATATCATTAATTAATAATTATCACTTCCTTCTGCTTGGTCCTGAAGTCTGTAGTGTAACAATAATAACCTGAGATCAAGAATTACCTCACAGCGTTTCCAAGCTTGTAAACTGTGTAATAAATGCAGGCCACGCCGCCATGACTGAGGAAAGATACAGAGGTCATCATTTATAAAACATTTAAGTGCCCATTTAAATGCTTGATGAATCCTGGTCCAGATCAGTATCCAATACTGAAGGAAATATATTTACAAATGTAGTCATATTCCTTGTTGAAATCAGGGAAACCCAGACCAAATCTTGTCTAAGCATGAGAATTATTGTTCTTTTCATTGATGTTTGGACAGAGTGATGGGTCTGCCTGGTCTGTCAACACCCAAGTGCACCAATTAACATCTCCGAAGAGAGCTCACTTTACACAAAATTAAAATAGAAGTGCACTAACTTTGATAACATTGTGATGTTTGAATTAAGATGGCAAATAGAATTAAATCATGTTTATCTAGCCAGTAAAGGGTTTGTGTGTGTTCAGAATCTTGTGGTATGTTTGTATGTGTTTTCCTTTCCAGTTTTATGTAATGTATTTTCAATCGGTGGAAAGTATTCTCTGAAATGTTCATTCATATGTTTGCTTCAGTTTAGTGAAATATAATTAGGGTTAGTTTTAAAGAGAATATGCTCTTGAGCAAGTATTGGCATGAGCTGTATTGGGGCTAATATGGCTAGATAAATGTGACGTATATATTCAGTACTGTCTCGTCATACTCTAACTCACAGCTTTACTTACCTCTGTTTACATGGCTGGTCCTGCTCTCCTGGCTATCATGACTGCTGTGATGCTCACTTGACTGCTCCGTCACGCACTTGCCCTCTGCGCCATTCAATTGATTGCTGCCGTGGCTCTTTCAAACCAACCAATCACTATCTCTTGTGTGGACAGTGCCAGTTACTAAAGACCCCACTCCTGGGAGTACTGGCACAACCAGTGCCTCATCCTTTCCCTTCCCAGCATCTTCCTTCCATGATACTAACATTCTTGCTCACTCACCGTCCTCTTCTTCATCAAACACTAAAATAAAACTGTCAGGTTCATCAGTTTCCATTGCATCAGCCTCTTCAGCTTTGAAATCTACTTCCATTCTTGATACTGTTACGCCTGTTTTAACTTCTCCGCCTTCAGGTTCCGACCCTGCTGTAACTGCCCCTACTCTTTCACGCATTGGCAATACAGCAGCAGCCGCATCGGTCCTTCCTATTGGCACTACCATGTCGTCCATTAATACTACCAACGTTGCCGTTTCTGTCAACACGGTTATCACATACTCTACAACCACCACTACCATCACCACTACCACATGTACCAGTACCTCATCAGTTATTCCCTCCACCACCAGTTCTACAAACATAGCAGTAACTCCCTCCGCCACTTCTCTTACTTCACCCTTATGCTCATCTTCATCATTGTCTTCTATTGCCACCATAGCTCCTTTGAGCAGTGTCATTACTGCAGATTCATTATCATCATCACCGTCATCGTCTGCACCTTTACCTCCACTTCCTCTTATCGTTTCTGCGCCTTCATCGGTAAGTTTAGTTCCATCTTCATCATCATTGCTCACTACAATGGCCCCGTCCTCTGCATTGGCTTCCACTTCCTCTGTCTCCTCTTGCGCCACAAGTCAAGTACTAGACTTCTCTGAATCAGATGCACTGCGAGCAAGACTGGGCAGCATAGTGAGGTCGTCGGCAGCTAGTCTTGCCAGCGGTGCCAACCTTCTTGTGATTGAGTACAATGTGGCGTGTAAGTTTTTAGTGAAATAATATGCATGTTTTCAACAGCATTTGTTATGTAAAGCACGATGTTACTGAGCTCGTTTGTATGTAGAACTTTTGTTGCCAAGTTCAGAGGCTACTTGGATCTCTGCTGATGTCTCCTGTTTTACATGCTTATGCTTTGGTTTCTCTGTATCTTGCTTGCATTCTTGCAGTTTGTAGCTTGTATACCTTTGTGCTACTATGTCTGCAGATTGTATACCTTCGTACTACTGTGTCTAGATTGTATTCCTTCGTACTACTGTCTGTGGATTGTATACCTTTGTACTACTGTGTCTGTAGATTGTATACCTTTGTACTACTGTGTCTGCAGATTGTATGCCTTTGTACTACTGTGTCAGTAGATTGTATGCCTTTTTCCCTTAAGCATCAAATTGAGCTATTAAAATCCTTCATTTCCCTGTGCATTCTTTTAGCATATTTCTGCACATGCCATAACCAAAACCTTTCTTATATGCACTAGCACTTACACGCTCATAATCTCACTGTAGACAAAAATTAAGTTGTTTTTAGATTTAATTACTTGGAATAAAATTACCATGTTGCACAGGCTATAGTAAGCCCATCAAATTATTTTAGATTTATGGAAGTAATTAAAGCACATTGCTAGAGTTATAGAACAAGTAAAATTTTTAAATAACCCAAACTACCCACACACAAAGAAATAAATGAGTGATACATTTCAATCCATTCTGGACTTTTATCAAGTCCAGGACAGACCAGGACAGGACAGGTCGCTTCATTTTTTTCATGTGTGGGGGTCACCTGCTTGATACCTGCTTGATGGGGTTCTGGGAGTTCTTCTACTCCCCAAGCTCCCCGGGTTGGGTTATTTCTTTGTACATTATTGTGATTCATAGTCTCTAAAATTTAGAAGTTATCACCTACATCAGGATTACAGTTTTGCAGATGAACACATTAGAAGTTGGAATTGAGAACTTGTACCTAAATTTGTGTAGGTAATAGATCCATTAATCGTAAATACAGTACTGTATATGTATAAATCTAAAGCATTTGTTAAAATGTGATACGGCCTTATAATGAGGGTTGTGGGCGAGTGCAGCATCTGGCTATTGATACATGGTGTACATCTTGGGCCTCTTGTAATAGTGTTGGTAAAATGATAACTTTCTCATCATGTATGTGTGTAAGAGTGCATTTCAGTTTGCATGCATTCGGTGTTGAGCATGTGCATGATAAACGTGCATGTGTATGCATGCACACATGCATGCAAGCACATACACAGGTAGATAGAGGTGCACTTGAACACTCATGGACACACAGAGGAGGAGAGGGAGACACCAGAAGCTGGTTCAATATACAGTAAATTTTTTAAAAGCAGATACAATGAGCAGAAAAGTTCAGTAATGTATTCAATGGCTGACAGCAGGCACGATGGAACTCTGGAGCTAGCTCTTGGCAACCACACTTAGGTGAGGACATGCACAGGCCCGCACTAAAAAGACATGCCTACTAAACAGTTGACTTTGCACTGCCTAGTTTATGCACGAGCACATGCACACATTCTTTGTGTTGCTGACCAAACTTGTCCCATAATAATATAAATGATAAATGTGTGTTATTCTTAAGATAATGTGTATGTGCCTTTAATAATGTTTTGTTTTGTGATTATCACCCACATACTGTTTAGTCTTCATAAATCCTTCCAGAAATTCATGCACTAATCATGAAAGACATTGTTCTGTTTTCTCTAAATTTTTTCTGCTATCCCACCATCCGGGTAAAAATGTTTTAATATGTTGCTTGATGCATCATCAGCATATGTTAAATAGTACTATTCCAATAGTCCTGGATTACAATTTTGTTAAGTCGATTATAAAATCATGTGATTGCCATTCAGTTATAGTTAGGTATTTGCTGTATTGTCCCCTTGCAGTCCCCGTGGCATAGTGGTAACACGCTCGCCTGGCATTTCGCGAGCGCTTTGGCCTGGGTTCGTATCCTGACCGGGAAGGATTGACTGGGCGTCAGTCCTTAACTGTACGCCTCTGTTCGCCCAGTAGTGAATGGGTTAGTACTGAGTGAGCAACCATGGGTGGCGCACGGGCCTCTGGCTCCCAAACACCTGTCCGACGCGGTGTTGAAAGATCACTCTCTCTTGGTGAAATTCAGACCTTATTGCTTGAAGAACATAAGGGTCATGATATTGATGAAGCTGGGTGCAATAAGGACCTAACACAAAGGTTGGATGCAAGTGATACAGTACCCATGAGGATGATACAGCAAGTGTATCCAGTTGTAGCTCTGAGCGCCACCCTTGCCCACCTATGCTATCTCCAATTTACATAGAGGATACATAGATGAATCGTTTTCTGGGTTCAGTGATGATGCATCTGATGCAAGTAGCATAGATGAACAGTGCTAGCGGCTTCCATGGTGGTGTTTTCCATAGATATTTTCAAGAATAGCTGAATCTCTTCCAGAATGACTGACACTCTGAGAATGACTGAATCTCTTTTCAGTCAGGGTACTCAGAGCTCTTTTTCAGTACAAAGCAATATTTTTAAGATTTCCTTACAAATTGATCTTTTCCTATAATTTCTTCAAGACTTCCTTATGCTTTACAAACTTAGCTACATACCACCTACAAGTACTAAAGCCAAGGGTGTACATGAGTGTGTTATTTGCAAGCACACAGAACGAAGAAACAGGAAGCTAAAATTTGTCTGTAACTGGTGCAACGAGAGCGAAGTCGCGCTGTGCACCATGGACTACTTCATTGATTATTACTCACTTCTGAAGCACTGAGTGTGTAATACAGTGTGTTACTGTGTAAATAGTGTGTGAAACTGTACATATTGTAATTTTAGTGAATTTTTAACAAGTAATATTGCGACAATAAACATTTATTGTGGACACATTATTGAAACATGTCCAGAAATTGTCTCCTCCATGCTCGTCCAGAAATTGGCATTTCATTATATGCAATGCTGGTGGGTTTTCAAAGTCTTTTAGGTACATATATTTTCCTCTTGCTTCATAAAATATTGTAAATAGATTAATTCAGTAGTTGGGTCCTTCGTAGAAAACCTTCAAGCATTTTCTTGGTAATTGGGTAGTTAATTACATTTGGTTAATACCATGTATTAGACACCCAAGCCACACGTTTGAAAATAAGCGAAGTGACGATGTTTCGGTCTGTCCTGAACCATTATAAATTCCAGGAAGGATTAGAATGTCATCACTTGCAATATTTTCAGATGTGTACATTTGCGTGTCAAATTTTCAGCCACATTACTGTATTGTGACTTACCATCTGCATGTATTGTTGTTGTTGGCATGTGGCAAGTGAGGAGAAGGTATCTGGTGTATCATAGAGCATTATTTGCAGTTGTAGTGTGCTGCTGAATTTATCTTATTCATGGCACCTCTTGAGAGACTTGAATAACTAATATTTTTGTTGCAGTCAACAGTAGTGCCGGCCTGCTCATGTCAAGTGCCCTGGACAACAGTGTGTTTGAAAACCCCTCAAGGATCCGGCAGAGACCAACAGATCTAGCGGATGCACTTTCTCCTACATTAGATCAGTAAGTTGACCATGATCCCATCCCAGTCTTCCCTTCCTGGGCCGGCAGCTGATTGGTCTTGTAGGTGCTTTGTTTATGCCATTATATACAGTATTACTGTAATCTGGTGGTACCCTGGTCGACCCCCAAAATGTGTGTGTATTTGTGTTGGGGGACCCATTCCCCACCCCAGAATGCAAATCTGTGCTCACAACATGTTGTTTATATGTCATGAACAAAAGATTAAACTCTGTGGACTCGGCCCCAAACCTGTGGAGGAAAAGGGGGAGTAAGTTTGAGAACCTACATGACTCGCCTAAGATTGTTCCCTTAAACCTACCAGTCACCCTGCAAAGTTGGGCGAGGCTAGCCTCAAGCATCCGGCCTCCAATCTTGGACAGGCAGACATTTTCTTTTATAGATGTACCTGGTGTAGCCTGGGATAGTCTCCCCCACCCCCACCCTTTTACCCCTCTTCTTTGCCCATCGCCATATATATTCTCTCCCCCTCCCCTCTTTACCCCTCTTCCCCCTTTCCCCCCTTTCCCACCCCTTCCTCTCCCCATATTCCCTCGCATCTCCCCCATGTTTCTTTTCATCTTCCCCCTCACCCCCATCTCCCTGTTCCCTCCCCTCTTTTCCTCCCTTCTCTCCTCCTACTTCCCTGCCTGGTCACCATCTTCTATGTACAGTCTCATCATCCCCATTTTACTCACTGTAAAAAGAGAGGGAGAGGTGTCCACGATCTGGGACGTTGAACCCGTTCACTCCTAGCTACATCATCGCAGTTTAAGACGACTTGAACTGAACTTGTCTCGACAGGTACGACAAAATGAGCGAGGCAACTGCCGTGAGAACGTCGCCCGAGGTGCCTATATCGGTGGCGCAGGACAAGGTGGTGCCGGAGTATCTCAGGTTAGTTGCCAGTCCTCACTTGCAGTCTCCCAGCCTTCCATCCCTTGGCACTGTGGTTCAAGAAAATCTGTGTGTCGCAGTCTTTCCTGAACATTTGGCGGTGTTTAACCTCATTTTTGTGTTTTGACTTGAAGGAAATGCTAAGAAATTATCAAAATTCATTAGTATCTAGTTTTATTACTTTTAGCTCTTTTGTTCAATTTGATCAAATCTTTTGATCTATCAGTTCATTGAATATAATATCGTAATTACAGATAAATTATTGTTATATTATTTACTGTACTGTTTTTCATATCATAGATTTCATATTTTAATATAAATTGCTAAATACCGTGGTACTTCAAAATTGGGCTTGGGGAAAATTTATTATTATTGCATTGATGACACAGAATTTTCTTTGAACATAACAAGATAGCATTGTATTCCCCTGCGATCACTTTCCTTTGATCCCTCGTATGGGGACCTGAAGACCATTGATGCTACATACATGTGTGAGTAGTGCACCCTGGGTGGCTGGCAGTTTATGTGCACACTGTGTACACCGCGTTGTGTACGCCTCTCTATCTGTAAGCTTGCGCTAGACTCGAAAAAGAGCAGACACACTATCATTGCTAAATAATTTACTTTCTTTATTTTGCTCCCTTTTTCTCCCTGTATTATCACTCTGCCTTATTTTGTTCCTTGCTTGTGATGCATGAGACACCTATTATGGCATGCAAGAGTTATCCTTTTTGTTTTTGTATTAACAATTCAGTTGGCTTTAGTTGACGTGAAAATTTTTAAACCAGAAAAATGTGCACCTGGTGATAAGGGCAAAGTAAATGGTGACTATTTTCTGTGCGCTTTAGTTACGAAACCCTGCAGTCGGCCGATACAGCCCCTGACCGTCGGCTGATTCAGTCCCCTCTACCCTCGACTGATACGGTCCCCTCTACCCTCGGCTGATACGGTCCCCTCTACCCTCGGCTGATACGGTCCCCTCTACTCTCGGCTGATACTGTCCCCTCTACTCTCGGCTGATACTGTCCCCTCTACCCTCGGCTGATACGGTCCCCTCTACGCTCGGTTGATACGGTCCCCTCTACCCTCGGTTGATATGGTCCCCTCTACCCTCGGTTGATACGGTCCCCTCTACCCTAGACTGATACGGTCCCCTCTACCCTCGACTGACACGGTCCCCTCTACATTCGACTGATGCGGTCCCCTCTACTCTCGGCTGATACGGTCCCCTCTACCCTCGGTTCATACGGTCCCTCTACTCTCGGCTGATACGGTCCCCTCTACCCTCGGTTCATACGGTCCCCTCTACTCTCGGCTGATACGGTCCCCTCTACCCTCGGTTGATACGGTTCCCTCTACTCTCGGCTGATACTGTCCCCTCTACCCTCGGCTGATACGGTCCCCTCTACTCTCGGCTGATACGGTCCCCTCTACCCTCGGTTGATATGGTCCCCTCTACCCTCGGTTGATACGGTCCCCTCTACTCTCGGCTGATACGGTCCCCTCTACCCTCGGCTGATACGGTCCCCTCTACTCTCGGCTGATACTGTCCCCTCTACTCTCGGCTGATACGGTCCCCTCTACCCTCGGCTGATATGGTCCCCTCTACCCTCGGCTGATATGGTCCCCTCTACCCTCGGCTGATACGGTCCCCTCTACCCTCGGCTGATACGGTCCCCTCTACCCTCGGCTGATACGGTCCCCTCTACCCTCGGCTGATACGGTCCCCTCTACCCTCAGCTGATACGGTCCCCTCTACCCTCGGCTGATATGGTCCCCCTCTACCCTCGGCTGATACAGTCCCCTCTACCCTCGGCTGATACGGTCCCCTCTACCCTCGGCTGATACGGTCCCCCTCTACCCTCGGCTGATACGGTCCCCTCTACCCTCGGCTGATACGGTCCCCTCTACCCTCGGCTGATACGGTCCCCCTCTACCCTCGGCTGATACGGTCCCCCTCTACCCTCGGCTGATACGGTCCCCTCTACCCTCGGCTGATACGGTCCCCCTCTACTCTCGACTGATACGGGCCCCTCTACCCTCGGCTGATACGGGCCCATCTACTCTCGGCTGATACGGGCCCCTCTACCCTCGGCTGATACGGGCCCATCTACTCTCGACTGATACGGGCCCCTCTACCCTCGGCTGATACGGGCCCATCTACTCTCGACTGATACGGGCCCCTCTACCCTCGGCTGATACGGGCCCATCTACTCTCGACTGATACGGGCCCCTCTACCCTCGGCTGATATGGTCCCCCTCTACCCTCGGCTGATACAGTCCCCTCTACCCTCGGCTGATACGGTCCCCTCTACCCTTGGCTGATACGGGCCCATCAACTCTCGACTGATACGGGCCCCTCTCCCCTTGGCAGATGCAGTCCCCTCTACCTTTGATTGATATGGTCTCCTCTACCCTCGGCTGATACGGTCCCCCTCTACCCTCGGCTGATACGGTCCCCTCTACCCTCGGCTGATACGGGCCCCTCTACCCTCGGCTGATACGGGCCCATCTACTCTCGGCTGATACGGGCCCCTCTACCCTCGGCTGATACGGTCCCATCTACTCTCGACTGATACGGGCCCCTCTACCCTTGGCTGATACGGGCCCATCTACTCTCGACTGATACGGGCCCCTCTACCCTCGGCTGATATGGTCCCCCTCTACCCTCGGCTGATACAGTCCCCTCTACCCTCGGCTGATACGGTCCCCTCTACCCTTGGCTGATACGGGCCCATCTACTCTCGACTGATACGGGCCCCTCTCCCCTTGGCAGATGCAGTCCCCTCTACCTTTGATTGATATGGTCTCCTCTACCCTCGGCTGATACAGTCCCCTCTACCCTCGGCTGATACGGTCCCCTCTACCCTTGGCTGATACGGGCCCATCTACTCTCGACTGATACGGGCCCCTCTCCCCTTGGCAGATGCAGTCCCCTCTACCTTTGATTGATATGGTCTCCTCTACCCTCGGCTGATATGGTCTCCTCTACCCTCGGCTGATACGGTCCCCCTCTACCCTCGGCTGATACGGTCCCCTCTACCCTCGGCTGATACGGGCCCCTCTACCCTCGGCTGATACGGGCCCATCTACTCTCGACTGATACGGGCCCCTCTACCCTTGGCTGATACGGGCCCATCTACTCTCGACTGATACGGGCCCCTCTACCCTCGGCTGATACGGGCCCATCTACTCTCGACTGATACGGGCCCCTCTACCCTTGGCTGATACGGGCCCATCTACTCTCGACTGATACGGGCCCCTCTCCCCTTGGCAGATGCAGTCCCCTCTACCTTTGATTGATATGGTCTCCTCTACCCTCGGCTGATGCAGTCCCATCTACCTTCGACTGATACGGTCTTCTTAACCCTCGGCTGATACATGACAGAATTGACTTTGGTCACAAAACTCTTAACTTGAGAACTGCTGCTCTTCTATTTGCTGTCATCGAATTTAGTTGTATACCACGTTCAGTTCTTCCCATTGCAGAGCCAAGATAATTTTCTTATTACAATCCAATGTCTGGTGAGTGTTTAGGAGATTCGTACATTGGCAACCTGTAGCAGTCGCCACAAGCAATGGTCAAGACTTTGCTTAATTACTTGTTAACAGTGCAGCCCATGTTCCGATGTTAATGCTAAGTATACTGCTTTGTAAAATATGGGAATGGTAACACTTTGGAAGTACTTTAAATGTACACCATGAGAACCCTATCTTAATTGCACTTGTATTGAGCATTAGATGGAAAGTAATGTGGGCAATGGCTCTGAAACGCCATGCGGGTTTCCTAGATTCATCAAGGATTTAAATGCTCAAGTAAGGGATCTTGATCATTTCAGCTTGGTGTGTATTTGTTGATCAGTTTACAGATCTGCAGAGCTATGAGGCCTTCTTCAACCCAGGGTTGGTGTTATTTTGGATGACCTCATTGCACTTATGTACAGTATTTGTAATCTGATTGACAAATACAGACTAGTACATCATGAGTAAGGCAAGAGGTACAGATTTCTAAAGTGGACAAGTTATTGTTCAATAATTCCTGACCTAGAGTAATAATTATGTTTCTGAGGGGAGCCCCTACGGCTCCCTGGACCTTATCGGACTAATGTACCTACCAGGGACCATGAGCCAGAACCTGGCCCCTTCAGAGAGGTTTCAGGGACCAATAGCCCTGGAAACCCCTCTTGTGGTTGGGAGTTTTCATTATCTGCCATCGAACGGGGTTAGGCACCCAGAAAGGTAGGCATAACAAAACAAATCCCACATGTTAAGAAACTAACAACAAAAACCGAACAGAGGGGTAGAACTCCCTTCAATCCCAAGGAAACATGCAAACGAACACACTACTGCCGCGTCGCTCGTCCACGCAGCCCTCCCCTTCCCCAAGAGGGGAAGGGGAGAAACCCTGGACCTCACTGCAATGGCTGCATAGCACTCCAGTTCGTAAGCTAATGTCAACCGGGACTGACGCTTCTCTGGAGCGCCCTGTGAGTACTGCCCCTGCGTGTCAGGGTTCTCTTCCCTGGGGGGTTTGGGAACCATTCCTGTAGAGGTTCTTGCTGCTCAGCATTTGCCTCGCCCTTGGGGCCAGCTGGGGCTTGGGGCCGTTGTTTGGCCCTGGGTAGGGACTGGTATTTTGCTGGTTAGGGCATCAAGGTGTTGTGTGACCTGCCACCTATGCAGTGACTGGTTCCTGTTTCCTCTGGGGACAGTGTACTTTTGTGGGAGTTTTCTTTTCTTTTTATTTTTATTTGCCTGGTGGGGGTCTGCCTAGTGTGGCTATAGTTCCACTGGTATTGTTTGGTGGCCCTCTGCTGGGCCCCTGTGATTGTACATGTCGCAGGGGTTTTCAGTGTTAGCATTCCTCCCTTGTTAGCTTTGGGTGTTAACCATTTAGCGACACCTTGCCCGGATTTCCCGTAGTCATAACCCTACGGGCCCTGGAAAACCCTGTCAGGGCTCGGTGGACCACTGGGTGTGTCTTCCGGGTTCCAACCCGT